TGTGTGTGTGTGTGTGTGTGTTTGTGTGTGTGTGTGCCCTTGCCTAACGCGTCCACATGTAGGATTACATTCATAGTCTCAAACAGAATGGTCGCCCTCTAGTGAGACAAAGAAAGATCATAAACTTTCCAGGTCAAACGCGGTTTCCTCGCAATATCCTAGGGCAAACGACCAAATTCGCGTTTACCCCTAAATTATAGCTGGAGTTAATGATAGGTTTGTTGCGGTTTCGCACATGGCACCTCCTCCATCCATGCCTCTGTCGAATGGCAGTAATCAGCGTTTAGAATTTGCATTGACTGACGTCTGGTTAGTAAAGGGCGGAGTCCGGAACGATGACACGTCAGAAGGCAACGGAGACAGTCTCGTCTGTCCCTCAGCCGCGTTCTGCTAAAAGCATCTCCCCATTGTGCTGAGGAGCGACTGAAAGCATGAGAATTGCAATGTTAGTGTCTCTCATCAGGCCGACCGGGCCGATTATTGTGGGCATCTCTCTGGGATTCACTCTGAGTCTCCTCAGCGTCACCTGGGTGGATGAGTCCTGCGACTCTGACTGGATGGGAGCCGCCGACGAGATGCTCATAGGGCAGCCTGGGGGCTCGAAAGGGGCCCGTAAGCCTAGTTCGATATCCACTGGCACAACTGACAATGGAAATGTCGAAGAGGACTTTGAGCCCAGAATAGTACCTTATAACAAGCCTGCCCTGGAAGGTCCTCCAAAGAAAGTTTTCAGGTAGGTGTAGCATGGCGCTCCACCAGTGATTCTATAGAGCGCATTCTGACTGACGTCTCTCGGGTGTATTTAAAGCGCGCATGAACGGTTGTGAGTAGTTTGCACAAAAAAAGTAAAAAAAAAGTAATGATAATAAAAACAACATCTCAAGCTGATTTATTTTGTTTGTGCTTTTCTGCAAGATGACTGCAGCTAAACTAAAGTTACATGGTTTGTCTTTTATGCACAAAAGAGGGAACATTTTAGTAGGGCGATTGCTATTTAAAGAGCAAAGGCTCTGATCTAAAGGCCCCTTGGCCTCTAGAAGCTGATACGCCTAATGATGTCATCAGGACACCTTAGGTTTAGTAATCTGAACTACAATGAGAGCATCAACAAATCAGCAGCGTCCTTAAAGGCATGCAGAAACAAAACAAATATATATATATATATATATATATATATATATATATATTTAAAAGTTTAATATAGTAACTATAGTTTCTGCTAAAAAAAAACAGAGTGACCTCTGCAGTTTCAGAAGCCAGAAAAAAAAACTTTCTGTGTGGAATAAACACCTAGCTGCCTGTCAAATATTTTGGCAATATGTCAAAGATTTAGAATAAGAAAAAAATAAATATAAAGTAAACAATCAATTTGGTAACACATAATCTAAGCACATTTTTAAACTTAATATTTCAACATTAACCCTGTTGTTGTTATTGTGAAACAAAAGAAATTTGGAAGAACCTTTATGCAGTACTTTTTGAAGAGTGGTGCATAGTGAGTAAAGCTGTTCAAGCTTCATGGTTTTCAAGCAAAAATTTTCAAGAAAATTAAATTGTGAAATCATTAACTAATCTTCTCCTCTGCTGAAGTTCTGAAATCTAGTTTAGTTTCACACTGAGGGTCATGGATGCCAAAAAATATTCATTTACTCATGTGTGTCTCAACTGAACACAAAATGGCAAATCAAATGTGTGGAAAAGAGAATGAGATTTGAGAGTGGCAGATCATTTTCATTGAATAACTTTGGCCTAAATTTTCTTCACACAAAGCTACTCCCTAGTAAAAAAAAGTAATATATTTAAAATACTATATACTAAGTATAGTTCAAATCTGTTAACATATTTACTGACATATCACTTGAGACGCACTAATATAAAAATTATAATTCAACTTTTTATGGAGTACTACTTGTGCACAATGCACATTTCTTAATATGAAGCCTGAAATGTGTTTTAATGTCACTAATGATGAGGATTGTATTATCTTTGAATAATATCGGTCTTTAAAAGGGTCATATGATGCTGCTAAAAAGAACATCATTTTGTGTATTTGGTGTAATGAAATGTGTTTATGCGGTTTAAGGTTCAAAAAACACATTATTTTCCATATACTGTACATTATTGTTTCTCCTCTATGCCCCGCCTTTCTGAAACGCGTCGATTTTTACAAAGCTCATCGGTCTGAAAAAGCGAGGTGTGCTCTGATTGGCCAGCTATCCAGTGCATTGTGATTGGCCGAATTCCTCAAGCGTGTGACGTAAATGTTACACCCCTTACCATATTGTGATGCCTGCGGCGCAACCACATGTGACGACCCCGGGCTGGACTCCGCTTTGCCCACAGTGAAAGCCGATCCGGCGATCCACAGCGCGAAGTTGAAGTATTTCGTCAGCGACCAGCACGGATCAGCTCCAGGCATGACGAAGCGATATCGTCCTCTTTTGGAAGGCCAAACAAAGTAGTTTCGCTTTCACAACGAAGCACACAGCGCCTTCACGACATGGTGGCGGCGGCAGCAACAATACTACAGCGAGAATAAAAGTCACGCCTTCTTTCTTTGCGTGAAGATGTCAAGGAAACACACAGTGCCTTCACGACATGGCGGCGGAGGCAACAATACTACAGCGAGAATAAAAGTTACGCCTTCTTTGCGTGGACATTTATTTGGGGGGATTTATGCCTTCCCAGATAGTGACGTAGGTATATATGTGTGGGCGTGTTAGAACGAGCCGTTTTAAGTAGGTGTGGCTGACTCTTAACTTTTATAAAGAATATCTCTTTGGATTTGAGACTTTAGTCTTTGCAACTTTACAGATCTTCTTTATGCACCAAGAGCTTGTAACACTCCAAAGAGAAAGGAAAAAGTGAAATCGCATCATATGACCCCTTTAAATGAAAAATATTTAAAGTGTACGCAACGTATACTTGCTATAGTTCCACCTTAGCACAATCAAATATATATATAGTTCATACTTACATATAATTAAATAAAGGTTATGCGTATTTGGCGTGCTGCCCAGGGAGAGAGCTCCGAGCTCGGCAAGACTCCCAAGCCCAGGGCACCCTCCCCCTGTCCGGGGAGAGGGGTCCGAGCTCGGTGTCCAGCCCGGCCCAAAAGCGCTCCCCCCGAGTGCTTCTCCCCATGCTGGGGTAGAAACTATGCCGAAGGGTCGGGGTGGCGGAGGGATGCTGAAAGTTGAGAGATAATGAAGGTAGGACGTACTTGGTTATTTATAGGAGTTTTCTCTTGCGCTGATTGGATAAATGGTGTAATCACTAATGATGAACTGGCCGTGTTAATTATCTGTGCGTGCTCCTCCCGAAATTTGTTTATAAACATCACTTAGTAACTGAAGGGTATTTTTATTAAGTACATAAATATGTAAATGTATTTGTAGTATACATAGCATGAAATATATGTATTTTAAATACATTTTAGTATATATATTTTTTCACTAGGGCTATGTCATATGGTTTCAGATTTTGGTTTGTCCTATCACTACGTGCTGTCATATGGAAAGAACTGCATGAAAATGATTTTGGATTTCATGGGAAAAAATGACAGTTTTAAATGATATGGGTAAATAATGACACAACTGCTGCCTATTTTGGACTTCTGTGTGTGGTATGTTATAAATGGTTGGGTTGGTTTATTTAACCAACTGACACATCAAACCCAGCTGTGCTTGTGACTTCCTAATGCAACTCTGCTGTGATTTTTTTACTCTTCATGTTATTATTTTATCCTCAATCTTTCTCTCTCCAGAGCCAAGTATGCCAGCACAGAGCTTGGAATTCGTGAACGTCTCTTTGTCTCTGTATTTACCTCCAAAACCACCATAAGCACTTTAGCTGTGGCCATCAACCGGACCCTTAACCACCACCTGGATGGCCGGCTCATCTTCTTTACAGGCACTCGCAATCGTAAACTACCTAATGGAATGTTTGTGGTGGCCCATGGTGACGAGCGTCCAGTTCCAAACATGTTTCAATCTGTCCGATATCTTCTAGAGCATCACATTGCTGATTATGATTGGTTCTTCTTCGTCCAGGATGATACCTACACCCAGCCGGAAAGGCTGAAGACCTTAGTAAGCCACCTGAGCATGGATCTTCAGCTTTACATGGGCCACCCTGGGGAGTTCATTGGAGGTGAAACCCAGGGGAGGTACTGTCACAGTGGACCAGGATTTCTACTATCCCGTGCTCTACTTCTGAAGCTCCAGCCTTTCTTGGAGCAGTGCAGGACTGACATTGTAAGCATCAGACCTGATGAGTGGCTTGGTCGCTGTATCATTGATTATGCTGGCATGAGCTGTGTGGAAGAATATGAGGTAAGAGGTAATGATTAACTGGGACTCGAATTTGGGTTATGACATCTATGCAATATTTTCATGAGCATTTAGAATAGAAAATTCTGTCATCATTTACTCATCCTCATGCTTTTGTGGAACACAAAGGCAGATACTGTATGTTAGACATACATAACATAAGGGTGAGTAAATGATAATATAATTTACATTTTTGGTTGAACTACCCCTTTAAATCCAGTCTTGAAAACAATCCAGAGCAAAACAATCATTTTCAATTCAATTTTATTGAAATAGCTAACCCAAAAATGAAAATTCGCTGAAAAATTACTGACCCTCCGGCCATCCAAGACATAGATGAGTTTGTTTCTTCATTGGAACAGATTTGTTGAAACTTAGCATTACATCACAGTAATGGATCCTCTGCAGTGAATGGGTGCCGTCAGCTGCTAAAAACATCACAATAATCCACAATTATTCTCACAACTCCAGTCCATCAATTAATGTCTTGTGAAGTGAAAAGCTGAGTGTTTGTAAGAAATATCCATCAAGCGATTTTAACTTTAAACTGTTGCTTCTGGCCAAAATACCATAATAGCATCCATAATCCATAATAATGCTTCCATCGCCTGTTGTTATGTGGATTTTTCGTGGATTATTGTGATGTTTTTATCAGCTGTTTGAACTCTCAAATCTGTTCTTATGAAGAAACAATCTCAACTACATCTTAGATAGCCTGAGGGTGAGTGAATTTTCTGCATTTTTTTTGTTGTTGTTGTTGATTATTCCTTTAACTATATTGAAACTAAATCCGAGACACTGGGATAGGCTCCAGCATAGGACAAGCAGTTTTGGAAAATGCATGGATGGAAATTAAATTCCACATAATACATAATATTTTTTGGGTGAACTATTCCTGTAACTTTTTTCTGTTTTGTTCATTCTTGTTTGTCATTCATAAAGAAATGCACTAAATCACAACACAGATTTTTACCAGGATCAGTTCTGCATCTGCTTATTCCCTGTAATCACCAAGGCAGTTACATTTCTCATATCATGAGATTCAAATTAGGCACAAGCTAAAATAGTATCTATCCCAGGGCAAATGTGGCTGAGAGAGCTGTGTGCCGAAATAAGCTGAAAGGAGGGAGGATTGGGGGGCTCAGAGCCTGAACTATGTACAGATCATCCTGGCAAACTCTAAAAACAGGCCTGTGTTGATAAAGTGGACTTTTCATGTAGCTGGTTTCCCTTAGTTGGCAATGTTTATGCTGGTCACAAATGACTACATTTTTCACCTAGGGTCTCTAGTTTCTACAGGAAACCACATTACCCAAGGGTCCGTGCTTTATTGAGAAGGTGTGCTGTTATATATTGAGGGGCTCAATGCAACAGGGAGGCCAAATAATCAATAGCTCACAGTATTTTGAAAATTCTGAGGCAGGTACATTGATATACTCAAACAAGCTCACAGTCATGTGAAAATGTTCTGCATATGTTCAAAACATGTATTGCACGTAATACACACCAGAGACAGTATAGAATAGTACATGTGCTTGGTCAAATGGTGTAAGTGTAATAAGCTATAGTTTGTGAGTTGATGTGTTAAATGGGATTAAACATGAGTGATGGCTGGTGTCTTATTTAAGTGCTTTGGCATAGAGGTGATGGAACACCTTTGCACTCTTAATAGGCTGATCTGATTTGATTCAGGTTTTCTGCATGACTTACACTGCAAATTTGCATGACCGTTGAAAAGTTTGGGGTCAGTAATTTTTTTTTTTAAAGGGGTCATATGATGCTGCTAAAAAGAACATTATTTTGTGTATTTGGTGTAATGAAATGTGTTTATGCGGTTTAAGGTTCAAAAAGCACATTATTTTCCACATACTGTACATTATTGTTTCTCCTCTATAGAAAGGAAAAATTGAAATCGCATCATATGACCCCTTTAAGAAATGAATGCATTTATACAGCAAGGATGCATGAAATATATCAAAACTGACATTAAGAATGTTGGAAATGACTATATTTGTAAATAAATGCTGCTATAGTTTAAATAAATGATGTTGTTTCAATTTTCTATTTATCAAAAATCTTTAAAAAATGTATCACTTTGCAGCACAGCTGTTTTCAGCATTGATAATAATAACAAATGCAATAAATCAGCATATTATAATGATTTCAGAAGAATCATGAGACACTGAAAATTGAATTAATGGCTGCTGAAAATTTAGCTTTGCTGTCACAGGAATAAATTATATTTTAAAATATTTCAATTAATTTATTTAAAACAGTTATTTTAAATTGGAATAATATCTAACAGCATTACTGTTTTACTGTTTTTATGATCAAATAAAAACAGACTTGGTGAGCATAAGAGGCTTCTTTCAAAAACATAAAAAAATCGTTCTGGCCCCATACTTTTGAATGGTAGTGTAGGTACTCTGAACCACATGTCTCATACAAAATACATCTGTAACCCATTGACAGAGGATTCATGTTACTGGGACACAAAAATATGACTATGTGCTTTAGTTCTACTGTAAATGCAGTCGGAAATGATACAAAGTTGTTGTTGTTTTTTTTCAACTTTTTAAACATTGTTTCAATAGCTATTTTTATTTCAAGAAAACCTAAATAAATTGTAAGTTAATGCAAAATCATTGTAGATTCAGACTAATTAAAAAATGACATTACATGATGTCATAAAAAAAAAGTTCAGTAAGAACTTTGCTGCTGAGCCACAAAGTAAATTACTTCCTGTTCTCGGCAGGCCAGCTGCAGACCTGCTGCGATTTGTGCAGTTAATTAGCATGGTTACAACAAGACATTAAACAGCATTACTGCAAATTGCAAAGGTCTGCTGACTAGAGCTGACCAGAATTAACCTTGAGGTGCTGTCTATGAAACTATCATCACATTCTTGTTACAGTGCCAAATGTTGAGGCATGTGAAAAACACAATACATATAAATATATTTATGTAAAATAATATATTCTGATCTAATATTAATCTTGCTTTACCTCAGGCCCTGAATTATAATTATTTTACAATGGAAAACAATATGGACCTTTCCAGAATGGGGAATGATGGATTCCAGAATGCTCTCACTGTTCAGCCTGTGACCAGTGCAGAACTTATGTATCGTCTGCACAAACATTTCACAGAAATAGAACTGCAGAAGACCTATGAAGAGATTGAAAAACTACAGGTTAGATTTTCAGCTTCTCTACAACAACAATGTATCTTACTTTAGCACTGCTTTTTTAGCTCTTTGTTTTGTACATCATGCATGACATTTCTTTAATGTTGCTTATACAAAAGCCATCAAAACCAGCCTCTGTACTTTTTCTAAATTCATACTTTTTGAATGCATGCTACATTACCTTTAGCTTGTCACTGGGGCAGTACCCTCACAGGTGCATCTTTCTACCTTATCACCAAAACCCACCATAAAGCAGTGGTTCTATTCTTTTTTGACTCAAACGCCCTACAATTTTCACAACAATACTAAAATGTATGGAGTTACTTTTGTGTCTTTTTTTCATTCAATCAAACATATTGTGTTTGAGAGCAAAATTAATTATATTGTAATTAAAAAACATTCTTGCTGAGAATTTTTTTTTAATTACAAAAATAAAGTAATTGATAACAAAACCCTTTGCATTGCAAACAAACGCTCTCTTTCCTTTATGTAGTTCCCACACTTTTCATTATGCAGCCATATATTTTGCTTCCTGTTCTGCTGTAATTTTTTGTGAGTCTAAAATCTTTATTTGTGAGTTGAAAAGTTTTGCTTCCGAGTTGAAAAGTTTTGAAACTGGCATTTAAGTGTGTTCTAAAGAAGGTCATGATCATGACATTAGACAATGACGTGTTGTTCTTCACGCCACAACCTCTGTCTCTGTTCGGGACCGTGCAGTGGGTGTGGCCAAATTAGTGCACAAAGGAGAGTGATCAATAGAAACAGGTCTTTCATTCTGGTGCATAGTTACTGCCCACTGAGATGCTGTTTCACTCACAAGCAAAACTTTTCAACAGATTTTAGACCCGCAAAAATGACAGCAGAACAGAGAGCAAAATGTGGTGGTGTGTAATGAAAAGTGTGGGAACTGCATAAAGGAAAGAGAATATACAATCCAAAGAGTTTTATCAATTACTTTAGTCTTAACAAGACTTTTTATTTGTAATTTTATTTTTTTTAATTACAATATAATTAGTTTTGCTCTCAAACACAGTATTATTGACTGAATAAAAAAGACAAAAGTAACTCCATACAAAGGCCCCATGACTTTTGTTATTTACTGGATAAGCAAGGGTTCATTGAATTAAAAAAAAAAATTACTAAATATTTTAGAACTAAGCATAACTAGACAAATGTGATAACATGATAACATTTTAAGATTATAATCTTTACATGACCTTTTGAGGTCTAGAAATCACACTTTTAAAATTTCCCTCAATATATTCAGGTTTTCTAAAACCATGGTGTTCTCTAAAGAAAATAAAACATTTATAAAGAAGAAGAATTATATTACTTAATATTTGAGTTGTTTTGTTATCTTGAACCCCCTTGAAAGTTTGCTGAGGCCCTCTGGTTGAAAACCACTGATCTAAAGGTTACTATACTACACCTTAATATACTTACCAAACTAAAATGCACATTTTAAGATCATTGAAAGGCATGAAGGTGTACTGTCCCAGTGACAAGCCTTTTCTCCTAAAGATACAGTGTCGTGTTTGTTTTTATGGATTTTGTCAGCTTTTCATGAATCTTGCTTTTCACACTTAGTCTGAGATAAAGAATGTCAGTGAATTAGCAGTGGATGGAAACAAGAGTGCATTGTGGCCCATCGGCATCACACCTCCCTTTGAACCCAAGAGCCGCTTTGAGGTACTGCGTTGGGACTACTTTACCGAAGATAACTTTTTCTCCTGTGTGGACGGTGCTCCTAAATGCCAGCTCAATGGTGCTGATCGTGATGACGTGACTGACGTCATCAAGGTCGCTGTTGAAGAGCTCAACAAAAAATACAACCCTTTTGTACAGCTGAGCGCTCCACGGCTGGTGAACGGTTACAGGCGCTTGGACCGTACACGAGGGATGGAGTACACCTTGGACCTGCAGTTCCAGGCCACGACTGAGTCTGGTCACCAGAAATCTATCACACTCCGTGTACACCTTGTGCGACCCCTTAGTCAAGTAGAGATTATCCCCATGCCTTATGTCACCGAGGCTACACGAGTCCATGTCCTCCTGCCCCTCACCAGTTATGACTCCCATGCAGCGCTGCGCTTCTTGGATCACTGTTCCTCCAACTTGTTCGAGACCGGTGAGAATGCAGTTCTTAACTTCCTGTTCACCTACGAACCCACCGAGGCCCAAAAAGTGAGTACAAATGACGTCTTTTCAGAGGTCAAGGCTAAGATCACTTCCATCGAGCACAGATATCCCAGCGTGAAGGTGTCTTGGATCAGCATAAAGACAGAAAGTCCGGGTCTCCTGCTGATCCTGGATATTGTATCTAGGAAGCACCCGGTGGAAACACTCTTCCTCCTGGTCACCGTTGACACTATGCTCAACTCAGAGTTCTTGAATCGCTGTCGTATGAATGCCATCAGCGGCTGGCAGGCATTCTTTCCCATCCATTTCCAAGAATTTGACCCCGGTGTGGCTTATCCAGACAAGGTTCCTCCTGCCTCACCAGACCTGGTCAGGGAAGTGGGTCACTTTGACCAATACACCTTCGAAGAGGGGTGTTTCTACAACTCTGACTACATGTCCTCGCGCACACAGATGTCTGGGGATTTGCAGGAGAATGAGGAGCTGCTGGAGAGCCTGGATCTTTATGACGTGTTTGTGCAGTATTCGGGGCTGCATGTGTTCCGTGCTGTTGAGCCTGCCTTGCGGCAGGCGTACCGCAACCGGACCTGCGATCCTCGGCTAAGTGAGGACGTGTTTTACCGCTGTCTTCAGAGCAATCTGGAGAGCCAGGGGTCACGTTCCCAGCTCGCCATGCTGATATTTGAACAAGAGCCAGGTAACAACACCTGAGGAGCTTCCAAAGAAGCAAGAGGGGGGTAACTGTAGACTGGCTGACTGCTAGCAGCACTCCTTGTCCATTTTAACATCTGTCAACCAGTTCTCTAGTAAAAGCTATTTGATTATCTTACTGAAACCACAGAGAAATGTTCTGAAAGGAACATTCTGAGACATTTAACAAGAAATGTCTAGAGACATCTTTTTCGTGAGCACTTGACTCACAACTGTTAATGCACTACAAAACAATTCTTTCACTGTGCTTTTCTGAGTAATTTTTGAATTTTGTATTGCGGCACGTTTCATGTTGCTGCCTCATTAGGATGAATTTCTATTGTTTTTGTATTCCTCATTCCATCATAAAATACACATTTTTTAAATAAAATTCGCATTCCGGGGGCTAAATATCACGTAATTGGGGTCGCTTCAACCCACGGACATGAAAAACAACCCGCAACAACAGTGTTAAAGTAGCCCAATTCCACGGGAAAACCACGGGCTTGGCAACACTGTGTCTTAACCTTTTTTTGACTGTGAAACAAATGGCCCAGGCCAGTGTTGCCACCTTGTGAACAAACTAATAATGCAAAAAATTCAAGACGCATCTGCAGCCTAAGCGTACAGAGTTAACGTGGTTAAAACTATCTGCCAGCGTACATACAGTATGCAGATTCTAGCGTGTAACAGCCAAGTTCTGTAAGTAAAAAGTCTCCATGGGGAAATAGATTTTGACGATAACTTTTAAACCTTTATAAAAACATCTGTTCAAATTTGAACTCGTTTTAAAAATAATCAAGTGGAATCGGCGGAATTTGTGCTGAAAACTACATTACCCATGATGCTGTATAGAAAGGTCCACCAATCAGAGAATCTGACATCTCTCTCTACATGCTCATAAAACTTAAATATTCGTGCATATATATATATATATATATATATATATATATATATATATATTATATATTTAATATATTGTTTTTATATTATAGAAAGGTCCACCAATCAGAGAATCTGACATCTCTCTCTACATGCTCATAAAACTTAAATATTCGTGCATATATATATATATATATATATATATATATATATATATATAATATACTTAAAATATATTGTTTCTATTGAATTAAACAACAATATTTAATGAATACTGATATATTTTTTAATTCATGTCATTCATAATGCTTCATGGGATTGTAGTTCATTCCCTCACTAAAGCCGCTATATATGTGTTATATGTGTGTATATTTTTGTCTGATTTTCAAATACCTTTTACTTCAAATGAAGGTTTGTAATGTTGGGACATCTATGATGAAATTTATGTTACGCACACTGTATGCATAGCATGTTTCCCTCCCCCCAAACCAGTACAGCTCAAACTCTGCCCACAGCCAATTCTAAAAATGTATCCATTGTAATCCATCCATTATATTTAAACTCTGAACTGAATCCATGAAGTATTGTTGCTTAACTGTTTTAGGGGAAAAAATGAATACACTAGCATTCGCGTAAAAACAAAGTATACTTGGGGCTAGTGATGGAGTTGGGAAAGAGAATGTGAATAGATTGTTTTTTTTTTCCCAGTAATTGTAGTGAAAGGATTTGCTTTGCATTTTTATTGTGTCTGAGGGAAGAGATGATAAAGTATGTTTACAACAATACTGGACAGTTCAGAAAGGGCGAATGTATAAAGCTATTTCCACAATGTATTTTGCATTATTCCATTTTTCTGAATCCACCCATGTTAGAAATACATTCCAGTATTCCACCCACACTTCCTTTTCCCGTGAGCTGTGGCTGTCTGGGACAACCTAACTATATTGTCCATGTAAAAATCTGTGCCTTTAAAATCTGCTCCTTCACAGTGAAATGCTTCTCAGCTATGCAACCAACAGACAGCAACACAACTAAAACATTCAAGGCCCAGAAAGGCCTTAAGGACATCGTTAAAAATAGTCCATGTGACATCAGTGGTTCAACCGTAGTGTTATGAAGCTACAAGAATACTTTTTGTCCACAAAGAAAACAAAAATAATTAAAGCTGCTAGCAGCGTTGAAAGGGCCCTCGCACCCAGGCTCACCGCCAACCTGTGGTTTTAGGGAAACTGCAAACAGTGGGCAATATGCATTTAAAGTGGTACATATAGGAGGAATATGTCAGTCATTTATATGTGCCAAACTTCCTGCTGCCAGCTGGTGGCGCTATGACTATAACTGGATATTGGCATGTAGATGTCTTCAAGCTAGGACTTTGATCAAACATATGAAGTTTGGTGCAGATTGAACATGGTGTGTTTGAGTAAAACATGACATATCCTGTTGCCAACAGGTGGCGCTATGATAATAACTGTATTTTGGACTTTAGATGTCTTCAAACCAGGACTCTTACCAAACATGTGAAGTCTAGTGCAGATTGTAGATGTATTTTTACGTTAGTGTAAAACAAATAATTTCCTGTTGCCAACAGGTGGCGCTATTATTATCACATAATATTGGCTTTTAGATGTGTTCAGGCCACAACTTTTTCAAACGTGTGAAGTTTGGGGCAGATCGGACCTTGTATGGCTGAGTTACAACAAATTCTATTCCCATGGCGAAACATCGAACTTTGTCAGGCCGCCAAGGACAACACCCTTTAACGAAAACTCAAGATCTTTGCAATTTAACATTACAGGTGGCGATATGACTATAACTGAATATGGGCATTGACATGGGTTCAGGACAGGACTCTAGTCAAACATGTGAAGTTTGGGGCAGATCGAACATTGTCTGCCTGAATTCTATTGCGAAACATCGAAATTTGTCAGGCCGCCACGGATACGCCCTTCAACAAAAACTCAATATCTTCGCAATGTAACACCACAAAGGGCTTTAGATTACACTGACCAAATTTGGTGTTGATTTGTTTAAATCTCTAGGTGGAGTTCGTTTAAATACAATGCCTGAAAATGGCAAAAGCGGCACAAAACCTGCAGAGAAAATTAAAAATATCAGACTTCCTGTTGGGTTTCGGACTTCATACCAGGGGACTTTTTGTAGGTATTGGTGTGTTACATGTGTCTACCGAATTTCGTACATGTATGTGAAACATAGCTCGAGGTGCACTTCATTGAATGTGTACAGGTGGGGCTATCGAGCCATTTTGCCACACCCACTTCTAAAACCTCTATCAGACATACATTTTCACGACTTCTGGGGTGTGTGCAAAGAGATGTAAATTTTCGCCACTTCTGACGCATGTGCAAAGTTTCATGAATTTTCAAGCATGTTTAGATCCTCAAAAATGCGATTCATTTTGGAGAAGAAGAAGAAGAAACAGCAATTCCAATAGGTTCCTCGCACCATCGGTGCTCGGCCGGCCCTAATGACTTTATTCAACAATTTCTTCTCGTCCGTGTTAGTCTTCGATGCATGTTCACAAGAGTATGACGACGTATGCATGTTCTTTTCTCTGATCTCGTAGCTTCATAAAATTACGGTTGAACCACTGATGTCACATGGACTATTTTACTACCTTTCTGGGCCTTGAACATTTCAGTTGCGTTGCTGTCTATGGAGGACCAGAAAGCTCTTGGGTTTCATCAAAAATATCTTAATTTGTGTTCCGAAGATGAACATCTTGAAAGATGAAGGTCTTACGGCAAGAGGGGGAGTAATTAATGAAAGAATTTTCATTTTTGGGTGAACTAACCCTTTAAGTTACCGGCTATTAAGAACTTCTATTAGCCAAAACAGCACAGAATCAGAAATAAACGAGATTATCAAAATCACAGCTCAGATTTAAATGTATTTTATTATATTTATCATCAGTTCAATAATATGAACAGCGTACTGAACTCAGCATATTGAAGCTAGTCCTCCTATGACATCCATTAAAAAATGCCAAATGTTTTCACTCCTAATACATGTGATGAAAATTATGGCCCAAAATATCATGTCAAGATGACAAAACTATAACCCAATGTATAGTTTTATGAAGATAAAATTAGCAAAAAAAAAAGGGGCTTCAACGTCTGTACAATGCTGCACAAAATGTTGGACATGTGGCATTTATTGGACCTCTTGTCTCCAAGTGCAACCTATACATTCTTAACCAGTATGAATTTCTTTCTGAATGTTAAAGGGATAGTTCACCTTCAGTTGCTGGTCCCCATTGACTTCCATATAGTATGGAAAAAGAAAACATTATGCAAGTCAATGGGGAACAGGAACTGGAGGTAAACTATCCCTTTAACAACACTGGACCCTTTTGACTTTCATTGTTTGAACAAAAACATGAGACAATAGTGTGAAAAGCCTCTTCTCTGTTGTTAATCAAAGTGAATCAAAGTGAATTAAAATGACACAATTTTAATTTCTGGGTGAACTATCCCTTTAATACTCTTTGAGAAGGTAGACATGTCACACTTCTGATGACCATAACAGTTGCAGTACAGATGTTTATAGTGTGTGGGGATTGTAAACCTACCTAACAGACCAGCGATGTCATACGCTTTCTTCTGTTCTATTGTCTCATAGTTAAGGGCCTCAAAGAAAATATCCAAGATGAGAAAGTTGTCTCTGCACAATGAAAAGTTTAATAAAAATGTTTAATTCCCTGCAGGGAATAACAGTATGGAAATGAGCCCATTATTTTTTGTATTAAGGAAAGAAAAGGATTAGCACCAAAAATGGTTAAAAAATAATAATTAGTAGAAACCACAGAATGTCATTATAGAGCAGTCTATTAAAATAGTTTTTTTCTATTATTGAGCCAATGAATGGAAGACCACAATTACATTTTTCATCCCATTATATAACTGACAGAAACGAGCCTCAGTTTGGACAATAGAAATCCTGCTATAGTTATTAGAAAAGGCTGATAGAATTTGTGAGAGAAGCATGTTTTGCAAAAATAAATAAATAAATAATAAATAAAAAATGCTGTGCAGGTATCCTTGCAGAAGCACATTTAGCTTCCGATGGAAAAACTGCAGGGTTTGTTTCCTCTCTGGTCTGTCTGAGGGTATAAACTATAATGTTCAAATATGTTCAGCAGCAGAATGAAAACTACCCCATGAGACTGTGTGTATGTGTGGCCGTTTATGCATTAGACTTACCTGATGTATTCCTCCGATTTCTGGTATTTGCGAGAAAGGTAGCGAGCAGAGCCCCTGCTGGGGATTTTAACCATAGAGAGCTCTTTTCCATACCGAGTCAACTTACAGGGTGTCTCGCAGGGGCATGAGTCACCTGTGCTCTTCTGGAGTAAAGCTGCAAAAGAAGTGTAAAAGGAAATATTGATGAATTATATTTGCTGAGGACAGGAACTGCAATAAATGGTGTTGTTGTTATCATCAATAATCAAGCTCTCAGTGTTGTTCAATAGTTTAAAATACAATAGGGGTTTTTTAAAACCTCAGTTACTTCAAATCAACAGAGTTGTGCATAATCACTGTTTAAATATCATTATTATTGACTGATTATTCATTATTTACCAGGGGTGTGAAAAGTACAGATGCTATGTCAAAAATTGTACTCAGTTAATTCAGTATTCAAAAGTTAAAAAATAAACAATTTTCTTATCTTTAAATTGAGTTTAAATTGAGAAACAACATACAGATTTTTCTTTTTCAATTTTAGTATTTTTATGAAAAAAAGCTCCATCAAACTCCATGAAGAAATGTCAAAAATCATTATTTTCTTATTGTTCTGACAACTGTATGTAAAACTCACAGCAGGTGTTAAACTAAAATCAATATCCTGAAACAAGTCACTATATTTCCCTTTCATGGGAACTTCGAACTGCGTCCTCTAGGGGTCACTATGGGGAATGCCTCGGGGGTATGTAGCCTAGGCCTTTGGCCATTGGGAATAACGTCACTGACAGCCGTCTAACGTCCCAGGGGCAACTCCCATAGCAATATGGTAGAGTTGGTACTTAGTGCTCGCCATGGTTCTGGCATGCACTCCCCTCAGCATGGTGGCGTGGGTATACCGTTCCCCATAGCGACCCCTAGAGGACGCAGTTCGAAGTTCCCATGAAAGGGAACGTCTCAGGTTACTTATGTAACCATGGTTCCCTGAGTAGGGAATGAGACACTGCGTCCTCTAGGTTTCTTGCCATGCTGCGGACGCAAGCTTCAGATGAAGAAGTTAATGATGTGTGCTCCCGGCGCCTATTTATACTATAGTCGCACCGGTAGTGACGTCATGGCTGTCGCCGGCCAACGAGTTGGTGTTTTTTCAATGTATGCTTCAGACACGGGTCACGACGAGGCGTTCCCCATAGCGACCCCTAGAGGACGCAGTGTCTCGTTCCCTACTCAGGGAACCATGGTTACATAAGTAACCTGAGACGATTTTCTGTTAAATTTTTACAGTGGTTTGACATTTGAATATAATGATTTTAGATGAATAATCAATACTATTCTTAAATCATATTCACACTTGACTCAATTTCATCTACATCAATGGCTATTATAAAAACACATTGCTATAGTTCAAAGCCTGTCTGAAAGGACTAGTTCACTGAAAAAAATTTAACATTAGTCATCAGTTATCATCCTTGTCTTTCAAAGCCACATTTGGATAAAGAAATACACATTTTTTATTTTTAAATAAATGGAAAACATTTTAAGGATGTGACTTATGTACCTTTAAGTCAACAGGAATTTATAATGAAGAAAAAGTATTATTTCTTCCTTGTAAATGTAACTGAGTAAAAGTCTGAGTATTTTGATTTTAACAGAACTCAAATAAAATACAGATAGTAGTGAAGTACACAGAAAAATATATTGAAAAATGTCTCAGTGCTGTTTATATATATATATATATATATGTATATTGAAAGTCAAAATGTTACAGTGTTGATTTGGACCCCACTGACTTTCAAAGTTTGTAAAAAAACTGTTTTTCAAACTATCTTCCACAGAAGAAGGAAAATCATACAAATTACAGGTTTATAACAACATGAAGGTGGGTACATAATGACAACATTTTAATTTTGGGGTGAATTATCCCTTTAAACTTTACAATTATTTGAGATGATCAATCAGCATTGTGTGTTTAAGATGCGTCTGTGATGATCTTACCTAAAGCCTTGTCAACACACTTGATTTTACTGGGTGTGCAGATATCAGCATTGCCTGTAGAGAGATATTTGATGTGTAAAAAAATTGAACCAACACATCAGTAAGAGAGCTTGTAGATTGTTTACAGAAGTCTGCTCCATTAAGGTTTCTAAGAAAGCCACTGACTCGACAGTGAAACAAGGAATGTTGTGATGCAGCTGCCAATCTGTCAGCAGCTTAAAGAACAATTTTACAGATGAGCTGTGTGGTGGCATGACAAGTACCAACACGGCATATTTGTTCTTACTTATATAGACAGTTTTTATGACAACTCTCCCACTCATACTACAGCACGCACCTGGCATATGTACCATCCTGCAGTTGCACTCTCTCTGCACCTGTGTGCTCTCACAGTGCAGTCTGCAAGCGCTGACGCTGTAGGTGTCGTATCCTGGGATCACAGGCTCAGATGAAGCCCGACAGTTGCCCCACGGCTGTGGCAGGTATGTTAGCTAGAGAAACAGTAGACATTTAGAGAAAAAGTCTGTCTCTGCTTCTTTTTCTGCCTGAGTGCACCCTATGGCTGTGAAATACTTAGCACATGCAGTCTCAATTAAAAAATACCCCAGTCAGATCGGAAATCTTTTTGACTTTTTGTAAATTAGTTCCTAATTTAAAATATCTGGAAATTAAGAGTTACTGTATATATATCCCTATCGATACTTCACTTGTACTGCGTCTGCTAAGACGCAATGGGGAAAAGTATATTTTTTCCTTAACTGAAGCCTTTTTTCAATAATGTTGTGTAACTGCATGGCCATTGGTTCGTGCAGTAACTTAAAAACGAACCAATGGCTTGGCAGCGCACAAGCCTATGGCGATGAAGCCCGCCAGAGCCCGCCAGAATGGGCAGGGCCATCTGGCTATATAAGCGGGTGTTTCGCTACAGGATCCTCAGATTTCTTCTCCTTCAGCGACGACGACGTTCTCCGCTGATCTGCAGAAGCCCGCTCAAAAAATACCCCAGTCAGCCCTGAAATCTTTTTGACTTTTTGTAAATTAGTTCCTAATTTAAAATATCTGGAAATTAAGAGTTTAGAACAGCTTGCTGTTACATTCAGACCTTAAAAGTTTTTGGTGGTTTTACCCCAGTTAAACCTACCCTCTGTTCCTGACAGGAAACAAATGTCTGGAATCCTGGAGAGACCCCAAAGCCCAGCTGATGGATGTATGGGGGTTCATTCTGACTATGAATCTGAACCCGAATACCTGCTTCCAGTGTCGTCTCATCTGAAAATGGACAGATTGTATGGGTAAAAAAAATTTGACAGATGTTCTATTTGTTTGCACTTTTGAAGATGAATCGATGTAAATCTGTCTGAGTATA